ATAACAGGCGAGTAATCAGATAGCAGGAACTGAATTCACAGCGCCGATGAGATTAACAGGAAAAAAAACAATCTTTCTCAAACACGGAGACAGACGGCACATTGTTCCCCTGGATTCTTGTCCGAGGACAGGGACAAAATCCTGACACACACACAGGTTTTTGTGGTGGAGGGGAAATTTGGTTTGCAAATGAGCTGCATGCAAAGTGCCTGCCCTCTGCGCTTTGCTTAATGTGTACTTTGTATCAGCCAGAGGCTAAAAACTGGAAGGACTGAGGCAAGTGAAAAGATACACTGCACTGACAGAGCTGTGCACACACAAGCATGGGGACACACAATCGACACACACACTCGATCCTGCACAAATTGAAACACGTATGTGAGTCTAATCACACAACAGCTTCAGAGCAGTCATATGCACCTGCACCAGAGACCTTGTGGATATGACCACAAATCAATTTGAATCACCGTGTTGTTACTGCACATTCCTGTTGTAACAGATGAAAATAGACGGCTTTACACTTCCTTGAAGATACCGTCCACCTTAGCACTTTGGAAGATTTGTGTGCAGTTCACAGCTTTATTTATTGCAATTTACTCCATTTAGGAAACACACAAGATGATGGTAAAGGCTTTATGAGTAATGGCTCATTGGACACACAGCCACCTTTTCTAGAATAATGTCCGATTCTACACACAGTCCCACACAACTGGAACCTCACACATCTGCAAACAAGGACAAAGATATCCTGATGCACGTGTGTGAGGAGACCAACATTCATTATGCACGCATTTAACTAAACTGCTAAACACAAATCAGTAACTGACTCACAAATTAGCTTCACAAACAAATGCAAAGACTCCTGCACCCACACACCTCTCTCTGAACTCTTCGACGAATTATCTTATTACTGTACCAAAAATGTTTTCCATAAAATCTGAAACGAGCCTGCAACGTTTGACCACAACCAGGAATTTCTGGCATCCTGGCTCTCCTGGAAAGGATAACCTGAGCTGGATGCCAGGTATTGCCAGTGAAATAAAAAAAACACTCTGAATTGGAACGTGCTGGAAAGATTTTGGAGTCAATGGGCTCTTTACATGAAGTATGCTTTTTACAGTTTAGTATAGAATACAGACAAAGTGATAAAGTAAAGGCAGTACACTGGGCTTATAGACATTGCTAGAAAGACTAAAAAGAAGACATTTGTTAGACATCAATCATCAACCATCACAAAACTCACCCCCTGTCCCCTGTCCACTTTCTTACACATTTTGGGGGTGCCCAGGTGTTCTGGATCCAGAGTCCACCCACTGAGTCCACCGGTTTAGACATTTTCTTGTCTTCAGGTGCAGGAACAAGCTTTGTTCTTCATGTCCACCTGTTCCTGCTCTCCCCTGACCCTGCATCGGACGAAACGGTTAGAGAATGGGTGGATTAATTTTCTTAGACATTCAAATGAATAAAACTGTGTTCTAAAAAAAAATAGAAAAGGCACAGCATGATATGAGAGTAAATTACAGATTTACAGAGAAGTTTAATAGTTCAATCAACTCAAGGATTCCAAACATTCTTCTATTAAATATTGACAAAAAATTTTTGAAAACCAACACTATCCCTTGACCTCTCATAGTCTACCTCATTACATGCCAACAAACACAATTTATTTGATCAGTGTTTTAGAAGCAACATGAGGTTTTTAATTAGTGTTACATTAACCAACTTGCTCAATTAAAATAAGTACAAAATACAGTTGGCTTTAAAATCCCTTTTAGGCCTAAATACTGAAAATGTTTTGAGTGGGTGTTTATAGGTGTTAAGTAAGGTTTTTAGGGGTAAGAAACGGGTGATTTTTTAAAAGAGTAACAGTTGCTCAGCAGCAGGAATGAACTTCTCGAGTTTGAATGAGCCAACCGGCGGCCATCTTGCATCTGTTGCCTGATGGTCTAAATATGGCACTGTCACGATAAAAAAAGCTGTCCCCATCAGCTGAACAGCTGAACACTGAAGGGAGTGATGGCTCGGGAGACAGGGAGAAACAGGGAGACAGGAAGGAAAGGAAGAGCTGAGAAGGGAGAGAAAAAAACACGCCGAGCAGCTGTGGTAAAATCTGAGGCGCAGGCAGGCCGTCAGGGCAGGCAGGGCTTGGTGGCCACAAGGCCTGAGATAGCCTTATCAAGGCCCGCCTGGCTCCAACGGCCAGCACACACCAACGGCGTGGCGGGGCGGAGCCGGGCCTGCGGACTCAGATAGAGCCTGAATCGCGCTAATCAACGCAACGCAGCCCCCACTTGAACAAACCGGGCCTTTTGCCTGCGAGCAAATAACAAGACAGATTGTCACTCTTCGTAAGCGATCCTCCAAAAAGCACAGAACCTCTTAAAGAGGCACAGGAAGAGAACACGCAGTGGAATCCTTCAGGCTCTTATCTGTTTTTAAATTTACTGCACTGCGTGCTATTTTAAACATTGTCACACACCAAAAATAAGTCAAGCTGAAAAATACCAGCTTTCTGTTTAACTACAAGAGACAACGCATACTCCAGTCTTCTGACACTACCCAAGTCAACTATATCTCCAGTTTCAGTATGGGAGTTCTGAATGGGCTGTTTTAATTAGCGTTATATGAGAGAAGCTTGAAATCAGTGCCAGATATGTTCTCTACAACTGAAAGGCTTTTCTCTTTCTATCATAAGAGCTCTAGAAACGTATTGTAGGTCAAACATCTTTCTAGAAGGCAGCAGCTCACTGCATGTGAAACTGCGTCTCATCATTTCTTTGACTTTTAAATAGTTTATATAATGAAGGAGTGCATTTGAGTATCAATTGGCTGAATTTTAAATGACGAAAATGAGGCGATGCAGTGCTTGTACAATATATAATAAGGATGGAGTCTGCCTTTGAAAAACGTCATTATAATGCTAAAATGTAAAATTTTAGCAGTTTTGAAAACGTTTTAATTGTACCGTAGTAATGTAACATTTTTGCATGTTAAAGGTTATTGATGTAAATAAATGGATTGAAAGGTACGTATGAGGTGTGAAGCACAATTGAAATACAACTAGATCTGTATGACATCTTCAATCAGAGGTTTTTTTAATTGCTGAGACTTTGAAACATGAGAATGCCTTGCGAACCGGAGTTTTTGCCTATGTTTCAAGATAAGGCTAGAGTCATTTATTGGGCACAAAGTTAAACCTGACAAAGACACTCTGTTCCAAGTTAATGTCTGTTTAATCTTCTGTTCGGGGACGGACAATGAATAATTATCGAGTCTCAGTAGTCAGTAGTCAAGCTCGGCTGGGAGCTCTCCTTCAGTGAAGAGCCTCCTGCTCTGTGTTAGGAAAACGTATGGATATAAACGAGGTAGCATCCAGGGGTCACTGGCTGACTGGGGGGGGCACAGGCACAGGCATGACAGCTGATCTCCATGGAGCTACAGATGACAGCTCAATTTCACTTCCGGGATGATTATTCTGACGCAAGCTTCAGGACTGTGGGCTCCCCGAAACCCAGACCCACACCCACGGTTATCAGCCTCTCCAGGTTGACGGACCTATCGCGTGGAACCACGGTCTTCCCTGCCCAAACCCCCCCCCCTCCCCCCCGGGGGAGCCTGCCGGGCTCGGATCAGGCCTCCGCAGCTGGCACAGGCCGAGGGACCAGCGCATGACTCGGCCTCCACATGCCTGACTGAGGCCGCCGGCAGACACCCTTGTGGATTTAGACGGAACAGGTTCACAGGAAATGATGTGACATCTCTCACATGGGATGTGTCACACAGATCCTTCACATCGAGAGGGACCGTGCCAGTATGGATAGATCACATTTAACATGACTCTGCACGCTTCGTGTTCTGGCACAGTTAACGCACACTTTTGCCTGTGGTGACAATTTAAGAGACTGGGCTTCAGCTGTCCCCATTTACAAATATACACAAGAATACTGCTGCCAGTGAACATTGACATCTTGTCAATGATGACATCGGGGACAGGAAGTACGCTCTGGGCAATCTGTACGGAACTGAATAAATCTTACTTGCCTCTTTGTAGGGCAGCACAGTGGGACAGTGGTTAGCATTACTGCCTGGCAGCGCTGGGGTGCTGTCTGTGTGGAGTCTGTATGTCTGTGTCTGGTTTCCTTCCACAGCCCAAAGACATGCTGGTGGGTTAATTGGCTTTTGGGAACACTGGCCCTGGGGTATGTGTGTGTGTGTGCCTAGAGAGTGACTGGCACCCCACCCAGGCTGCACCCCACCTTGCACATTACTTGCCAGGATAAACTCCAGCTCCTCTGCAACCGTGTGTTGGATAGAGCACTTAGAAAACGCATGGATTGAATTTAAATATTATAAATCAGGACATCCAAATTGAGCTGTGTCTACTAATCAATACTGTTCAACATCACAATTGTTTAATGCGGGTATTCCCTTCGGAAGATTGGAAAACAAATATTAAACAAATGTTTTGAGGCTTCTGCAAAACGCGCAGCTCTAGGTTTGAGTGCATTTTGTAAATATGTTCTAAATAATATTAAAGCAAAACTCCATTTAAAATCAATTCGGTTGTGTTTCTCATTATACAGCTTAAATCCCGTAGTTTAACATTTAAAACACAAAACGCTTACCTTGAAATCTTGGTTGTCTGCTTCCTCCTTGTGGACATTTTAAGAAATTCATCTAAATATGTTTTTAGTGATTTTTATTTTAATTTAACTTTTAGGCTTTATATATCTTAAAAGTTGTATATATCTACATAGAGCACTTCGTTACAAATATTTTACTTGTAAAAACTCAACGCCTGTTCTGTGCGGTGTTACGGTATTATCCGTCTCTGACGATTATTCAAAATACGACATAAAATACAGATTTGTGTAAAAGAGAAAAAAAACAAGCATTTGTCATTTAATTACTAACGACACTTAAAAAATAAATTTAAGATAAATTAACCTTAAATTTGACCAAGACACGCTCAATTTCAAATGAACTAAACAGGATGGACAGATATTTCCATCCAGATTTTAACAGGCTGGAACCATTGAGCAGGTCCGGTCACTCCAGTCGGAATTGTTTTGTGTACGGTACAAAGATGGCCGCGTCCATAAAAAGAGCGGTGCACTGGGATGGAGTTAAAAGTTTTTAGACGTGTATAAGCTGTAGATCTATAGATTTATTGATCTGATCTACTTACGATCAGCTTATATTGATCTATTTTTGTTTTGTCTGAGACATGGCTGATAATGCAGAGATGGGTGGGGAGGATACTGCGGAAATTGCAGGAGGTGCAGATGGCTTGACTGTGGCATCCGAAGCAGCCGGTCCCTGGGGTCCGGCCGCCACGGCGGTTCTGTCTCTGCCGCAGGACCGCCGGCTGGTCTGCGTGGAGCACCCGTGCCGTGTCCTCAGCGTGGACAAGATCCTGGAGACAGTCGGGGGCGAGGAGGGCATGTCGCGGGTGAGCAGAATCTGTCCAACGTCCCGATCCCTGAATGTTCAAGACCCCCCTAGTTACCGCACCAATCTGGAACCACCCCTCCCCATAATAAGGATCCCAGATGAAGCATGGAATTCAGTTTGAAGTCTGTAATTATTGTAAATCTCGTTACTTTTCTGTGTTGGGAGGTTTCTCACGGTGGACTGCATGACCCGGTTCACGGGAAAGCGTCAGATTTTTACTGAAAAGCCCCCCCTGACAGTTTATGGACTGATTTCACACACTTCGTTTAGCAGACGTTCTGTACTTCCTTTCCTAAACCATTAACAGTTCAGTGTAATAGCTACTGCATAGCCAGGGTCTGTGCAGCTACTAGAGCCTACTGTGTGCGTACACACGGCCCCTTATCTGAGTCTCAGAGGTCTGTGCAGTTGCGCAGAAATCTTCCCAGCTAGAACTTCTGCACCACTCCAGCCCAGCAGATGCCAGCGCTGGCAGTTGCTTCCCACTGCGGACTGGGCTTGAACGAGCCCTGCAGCTACAAGGCCCCCCCTGCGAGACCGCTGTGCCTCACCTCACGTTGCTCTTGTGTTTCAGACCTACGCCGATTCCTCCAGGCGCCTGGAGCTGTATTTCCGCCCCAGGGACCCCTACTGCCACCCGGTGTGCGGTAACAGGTTCCCCTCCACCAGCCTGCTGCTGCGTGTCCGCAGGAGAGTGGCCAAGGGCCGTGGGAATGAAGCCTCTGGAGACTCCCCTGAGCAGGAACAAATGAGCATGGAGATTCTGGGCATCATCGGCACGACCTACAAGTTTCAAGGTAAGCTTTTTTTTATTATTTTTTGGCGCTCCACTTTACTCCCGATTACTGCTCAGCTGGTCACCTTTTGGGTTTTTTTCCTGACACAAACACAGCAGCCAGACACATGGTAGGTGGTCCGATGAGCCCCGTGTTCCTATCTGAAGGTATTTCTAGAACGCCTGCATGTAAAGGAGAATTAAATAACGCATTGCTGAAATAAACATAAATAAAAACGGCACAGTTGGTGTGGTTTTTTGTGCCCCCTGCTTTGAATTTTACATTTGCATTTCTGAATGCCCCGTTTGAAGTTGGCCAAGGAGCGTCCTATGGATCTGGATTTAAGAGTTATTTAAAAAAGCATGGGTTTCAACACGTCCTTAAGGACCACGTCAGTGCTGATTGTGTTTAATTTGGAATTCTACTCCTCTCATCACCCCTTCATTTTACATCGGCAGCACTCAATGAGACTGAACACTGCTAACTAGAGCAGTGAAGAATATACACGTTGTTTTTGAAGCACATTGTCGGCCACCCATCCTTTATCCACACAGGAATCCTACAGCACCAGCAAGAGGGGAAAGCTGGGAGAGTTGGGTAGGTTCCACTCATAATAGTTAAGAACAGCTGAGGCTGCCAGTAAAAGAGAGGTTGCTGCTGTTTCTCCAATGCAAGTGTCCGGCTCCTTTCTCCTTTTGTGCTTTCTGGAGAATATCTATGCTACAGACAGCAAGTGACCTAAACCAGGCTAGAATCAAAGCTGGCTAGATTACAGGGCCTAACCACTGCTCTGCTGCGACTGCTCTACCGAGACTGAAGGTGGGGAGTCTGGAGTAAAATCGCTTATCAGGATGACTGTGCACAGAAGTATAGCACTGGGCCTCTTGTGCTCTCTTTAGCTCTGTAGTCGTGTCAGCAGTAGTCGTCATTATGAGAGCTAATGATCACGCCAGAGGAGGGCTGTTTTTAGATGGCCAGTCAGACTGCCTGGCAAATACCGTGGAGAACATGCAAACTCCACACAGACAGGTGCCCTAAAGCGAGAGTCGAACCAGGACCATGGCATGAGGCACCACTACTCGTCACACTACGGTGCCGTCCTCATCTGCAGTGCTGATGCAGTTACACCGATAATAATTTTTCCATCTTCATGTGCATTTTCGCTCAGGTATGGCAGACTTTCAGTACCTGGCAGTGCACGCGCAGCCTGACGGCACGCAGACCTCCCTGTACGACAAGATCTTGTTGCGGCGTCCGGAAAAGAAGGAGTTCTTCGACCAAGACGTACCCCTGTTCATCCCGCCACCCATCTTCTCGCGCCTGGACAACCCCGTCGACTACTTCTACCGCCCTGAAATCCAGCACAGGTGCGTGCGGGAGGGACACTGGGGAGGGAGCCCTGCTGGTTGGCTCGTGCGTCACCTGTCTTTTCCTCTCGTCCAATCAGGGAAGGGTACACGCACCCCGTGCTTTCAAGCGAAAACCTGATCGGGCTGAGCCGCGCCCGGCGCCCCCACAATGCCATCTTTGTCAGCTTCGAGGACAAGGATGTGCCTACGGAGCCTCTGGAGGCGGCTGTGCAGAACTGGCAGAGGTTTTGCGCCCATCCAGACAAGCACAGGGCAGAGGAGGAGATAAAACAGGTAGAAACAGTCCGATTCCAAGGGTGGGAGCCTCTCTGTTTCCTACGTATGCGACGTCCTCTCTTAAAAGAAAGCTCTTCGAGGTGATTTTTGCCCGTTATGCCTTCTGGCACGTTGGGGCAGGAACATCCTGTTGCTGTTTCCATGACATTAGTTTTTTTACCAGGACAGAGTTGTGCCCAACGTGGGACACAAACCCACTCCCCTGACATTATGAGTCTCGCGCTCCACCAGCAGAGCTAGTCAGGGCCCGTGACGGCCATCCATGCACAAGTGCTGGCAATGGCCAATTTAAAGCTGTTTTTTGTGAATAAGCCCTTTGTAAGTGTGTAAAGAATAATACTACGATGGCTGTATAAAAATAATAAGGAAACAGAACCATAAAAGGGGACGTCGTAAGATTTTGAAATATACCAGGTCCCAGTGTGTTCTTTCCATACCCTCAGGTACGGCCGAGTCCGTTTTTATCAACGGCAGTGTTTGCTGAATCAGTCCTGTTCAAGGTTCTTGGCTTTCCCACCTGAGACAGGACCACATGTGCGTAAAAGTACCCCCCCTTATCTAATCCTTGAACATACCGGCCAAGCAAGCGAGTGAATCGGCACACATCCACAGCATGTGGCTCTTCCAGGTAAAGAGCAGCACGTTTATTCAGGTTCTGGATTCACTTTATTCCCCTTGTCCCCCCAAACAGCTGTTTGAGAAGCGCCCTGTCTGGTCCAAAAACGCGGTGAAGTGCAACATGGAGATTCACCCAGAGAAACTGAAACTGTTGCTCCCCTTCGTGGCTTATTACATGGTGAGAAGGAAGATTTAGAGGTTCTTGGCAAAGTGCAGCTCCATTTTGATATGACCATGCCCAGTTTAACCACAGATCTCGTATTATCCCAGCCCCTGGCATGCATTTCCACGCGCTCTTTACTTTGGGCCGGCGGAAAAATGTAAAAAAGAAAAGCGCTGGTTTTAATTGCATGCGACATTAATCGCCGTAGAAAAATGAACGGCTGTATTAGGACCAGAGATCAATGATCCTTTCAGATGGGAAGGGTCCGAGCCGAGCAGCCCGTTTCGATGGGAAGATAAGGTGCACTAACTGTTTTCCAGCTGACCGGTCCCTGGAGGAGCCTGTGGGTGCAGTTTGGCTACGACCCCAGGACTGACCCCAAGGCCAAGGTCTACCAGGTGCTGGACTTCCGGATCCGCTGTGGAATGAAGCATGGTACTGAACCCGCACAGAGTGTCCTCGTTCGAGCCCAGACCTGATAGAGGGCGTTCGGCAGAGCCGGCTTCATTCGATCTGCAGAGAAGGACACCGTACAGTGAGAGAGTCCGCCCTCACACGAGCAGGCCCAGCTGCCTACGAACCCCTCGTTTGCGCCTCAAGCTGTTCATTTCACAAAGGCTGTTCATTCTAGCAGGTTTTTACAAGTCGTTGTCATATCGCGGGATCCCAGTCAAGCTCATTCTGTCCCCTACCTCCCCAGTTACCGCTCACAGCTGGCAGGGCGTCTTTCCCGAGCTCGTTAGCGCGCCGAGCTGCTGCGAGTTCGGGGTTCGAGCCTCTCGGGCACGGTGCTTGTTCTTGGACTGTTCTGCTGCAAAACAGCCGGAGGTGCAGGACACCTCCTTCCACCTGCAGGCTTCGTCACCTCGTCAAGAGCCCAGTGAACCGGGCCCCGTGATCCCAGCACACTTGCACACCACAAGTTATGTCGGAGTGCTGCAGATCCGTTGCGAACACTAGATGGTGCTGCCATTCTTATTTTACACCCCGAAAGTTTGAGAAGAAGAGGGCAGGTCATCTTCGTACCATTCGTGCTCCCTCAGAACGTCGAGCTGGGGTCACGGCAGCCCTGATCTCACAGATCAGGTGGGGTGGAGTGGGGTCAACAGCACACGCCTGGCCTCTCCTCGGATGGCAGGCCCGTCAGTCCGAGGCAGCAGGAAACCAGTGCATTCAGGACAAACCCATGCCAACGTGAGACAAACATGCAAGCTCCACACAGACTGTGCCCCAGGCTGGAACCAAGAGCCGTCAGGCAGCAGCTCCTAAGCCACCCTTGTAACACTGAAAGTACTTCAGTACCGGGGCTGAGAAATGGGCTTTCGACAGCCATTACGCTCTTGGCCTCAGAAGCTCCCCTGTGAGGTTTTGAATTTCCCGTGTTGTCAGTTCATCTCAAAACGTTGCGTTTGACTTCACGCTTTCTGATGTCTGCTCTCGTCTTTTAGGTTACACCCCGAATGACATGCCAGTGAAAGCGAAGAGGAGCACGTACAACTACAGCTTACCCATCACTATCAACAAGACGGGTAGGCACAAGGGGGGCGCCCGAGAGGCGCAGAACTGTTCACCTTGTATCTGTGGCCCGTCGTGTGGACAGTCTGCAAGGCGCTGCCTCTCAGTCGAGACGTCTGTAATCTGCGGGCTCTCGAGACGTACATCCTCGAGCAGTGAAGGTGTTGATTCAGACTGCAGGCTGAGCCACATGAACACCTATAACCAAGAGCGCCATCGCTCATCCCAGCGCTGCACTCTGCTGTGGGTGCTGCTGGGAGCACAGTGTGAACCAGGAGCTGTAGACCGTACGTCTCCCGCCTCCTGTGTTAGAATAAGGATCTGAGGTTTGAATCGGGTCGAGTAACTGATGGCGATTCCAGATTGGAGGGGTATAAAAAGATGATTTATGGGTACTTCCTAATTTTAACCAAAAATAAACCATCTGTTATATCTTTACAATGGATCAGAAAACTAAAAAGGTTGACGCTCAGCAGTGGCGTCCAGCGCAGGTCCGTATCTCTTTCACGGACCTGTTGTGCGCAGTAGGTGCTTGAGCATGTTGCAGTTTCCTTGTGTCACTGACCCTGCCCTCCGTGTGCCAGTGCCACCACCTGCCCGGCTGCAGGACATCACAGAGGGAGGACCCAGCACCCTGCCCAGGCCCGCCCCCTGCAGGTACAAACTGAAAGTACGTACGACGCACAAGGATCTTTCCAAACGCGGTGTTTCAAATGAAGGATTTAAAATTGGAACATGGGTAAAAAAAAAACTAAACCTCAAACTATATGACAATCCCCAGAGTGGGAATGATTGTTTCTAGGACTGCAATAACCATTTACCCTTTACTGTTCACAGTACTGTGGCCAATACTGAACACTGTTTGCAATCTAAAGCCTCAACATGAACTTTTCTAGACTTACACGTCATGCTTTTTGTTGTGTGTTTGTTCATTATGTTTGCTTTTTTATTGCTTCCGGATACTATCCTTGCAGATTTTTTATGTACAGGCTGGAATTAATTTCCTTCATCCTTTCAGTTATCATTAACTTGTCCCCCTAGCCATATCCCAAGTTTGTTTTCACTGCAGTGAAACTAGTTTGTAATAAACAAACTCAATAATATTGTGATGCTGACAATCGCAATTTAGACAGAAACAACACAATGGTTGAATAATATATATATTTACCGGCAAAATCAAAACACTGCATCACAAAACGCAAGACCACCTGAGCTTTTCAGAACTATGTTTTGTAAACAGATACATCAGCAGAAAGCAAACAAACCTTTCAGTTACGTTCGTCTCGCGTTTCTGTTTGGAGAAAAATCATCTCCAGCAAAATACAAGCGCAAAAGCAAAAATTCGCTAAAATAGATATAAAGAACATTTTGCCTTACCTTGAGAGAGTGCATTCATTTGACTATTTTACTATTAAAATTCACGAGTTTTGTAAAAATAACAAACCATTCTGCAACAAAGATGGCTGTAAAGAAGCCCAATGCATTCAAATCAACCGGCTCTAGAAAGAGCTCATCTGATTGGTTCAAACAGCTGTCATTCAAAGATCTTTGACCGTTCTAAAACCCTCCTCTCTACAGCATGCGGGCGTAGTTTTTTTTTTAATTTTATTAAACCTGTTTATTATGAGTGCTGTATGAGGCCATAAATACCAGAAAAGAACAAAAAAAAGTTAAACCAGTGTAAAAGCACTTTTTTTTAACTGTAAAGTTTTATAAGAAGCCTCTCTAGGACTGGCGGTATTGAAATACTACAGCAAAAATGTCCTCATTATTTTTATGATTTTTTTTTTTGGAAGGCTGAGATTCATGTCCTGTCTTTATAAAAAAAATCATGCTGATTTTTTTATACTTATAACTATACATATTATTTTTAATCATTTTAGCTTTTAACAACTGCAGAACAGAACCAAAACTCAAGCTAAAACACTAGAAGGTCTGTAATTCAATAGGACAGTTTTGCAATGAGGGACTGGTGTTGTCTTTTCTCAGGAATCTGCCTACATCTTCCGTGAAGGCACCCTGCCACCCTACAGACAGATGTTTTACCAGCTGTGTGACCTGGAGGTGGAAAGGTAAAGAAACACCGGGCGTTTCCTTTTCTTCAAGCTCGCGGTCTGGGCACCTTTATCTTTCACTCGGGCTCTAGGGATCGTCTGTGTTTTAACCGTTTGGTTGTAAGTATGGGGTCAGCATTGCTGCGCCCCTGGGTTCCATTTCCAATCTGGGGGTGCTGTCTGTGTGGAGTTTGCATGTTCTCCCTGGGTTCACATGGATTCCTTTGGGTGCTGCAGTTTCCTCCCACAGTCCTGATTGGTTAATAGTGGGGTAGTTGGAAAGCTGGCTTTGTGAGAGTGTGTGTCTGTCCTGCAATGGCCTGGGGGTCCTATCCAGGGTGTACCCCAACGGGCGCCCCCTGCTGGCCTGGAGGGATCTGGCGACCCTGCATTGTTTGAAGCAGTTAGAAACCTCCAGGACAGAACAGGTGGGTGATTGTGGACGTTCTTCGCGGTGCTAGGGGTCCTGTCCTGAATGTGCAGGCCAGGTGTTGACGGCAGTCTCTCTCACACCTCCTGTGGCCAGAGCCAAGTGATGTTATCTCTCCTGCGCCTTGGCAGCTTGAAAAGGATCATTCATCGCAACGATGGCAAGGAGACAGAGTGCACGGAGCGCGACGGCTGGTGTCTGCCCAAGACCAGCGACGAGCTGCGGGACATCATGTCCAACATGATCAAGCAGATCATCCGCTCCAAGAGGCCAGGTAACTCGACACCCCCCCCAGTGCCGGAATCCCAGGGCCTGTCAGGGCACCTGCTTCCTTGAGGAGGGCGTGCCAGTACTCCGGCAGGTGCAGAGGTCTCCAGGTGAAAGATGTGGTGAAGGAAGCTGGATTGGTTGGCCGGGGTCTTTAATTGAATTGTCAGCGAGGTTTTCCCTAGAGAAAGTGCGGTTTGTTATTCTAGTCGCACGCATCCTCTGCTTTCAGCCTTGCCCCATAAAAAAGTGCAAAGTTCGAGTGGAAAGCGCAGCAGCATGTGTGTTGTTTTGTTGCAGAATTCGGCAGCATTTCCTGCTGTATCGAGCATCGTTTTCCTGAGTAAACGATGAAGGGTGTTGTTCTTAACGAGCTCTCCCAGAAAGGGGCTGAGCAGGCGTGGGAGAGATCCTAATCCTCTTCCTGTCTCGTCCGCGTGCGGCAGCTCTCTTCCCCCCCAAGGCCCAGCGCCCCTCGTCTGGGGGTCCGCGTGGGGCGCTGGACATGGACAGCGGCGAGGAGGACGAGGAAGACGAGGAGGAAGAGTTCCAGCCCTCGGAGGGGAGCGACAACGAAATGGAAACGGAGATGCTCAGCTACGTGTGAACCCGCCTCCAGCCCCTGTGAGGAGCCGGTCCTCCTTCCTGCCGCACTGGGAAACGCGACACCTGCGGGGACATGCACTGGGACACGGACACCTGGCCTGCAGAGCCACACAGTCACACACAGCCAGGCTGGATGCTTCCTGGGGCAAAGTGAGGGCAGTCTTACCACTCCTCATGTACAGCAAGACCCGAAGCCTGCTCTGATTCTGAAAAATAAGGACAATGAGTGATTGGGCTTGATGTAATGAATTTAAAAATGTGTGTTTTCCTTTTTCTTCTGTGTAGTTTAGCTGCCTGAAGAAGGCAGCTGCTGGATGCGTTTTAGTGTGTGGCTCTTTTTCAAACTGCAGGGAGTCGGGTCCGATGTGTGTTGGTTGTGTAACGATCAGGAGGGCCCGTTGTTTCAGGCGAGTGTCTTGGTACGTTCACGCTATCTGCACGTTGTCTCGTATTGTCTCTGCCGCAGAACTCTTCTGTAAAAAAAAAAAACATTTTTTTTTGTCTACAATTGAAAAATCATGTAACATTCCACTATACAAGCAGTGTACAATTGCATTTCAATTCCTTGACAGGCAGAAAAGTACTGTAAATGTTTTTCTTTGGGTTTCTGCATATAAACTCTTTGAGAAGACCAGCCACAAGTATTATTTTTTCTATAAAGCTATAAAAGCCACTTTGTTGCACCCCCCTGTGAGATTCACTGCTGCTTGATTGGAGCTCTCGGTTGAGTAAGAGCAGAGGGCCTGTCATGAAGGAGGGTGACCGAAACCAAGCCTGGAATCCCCCCCCAAAGAAATCTACTACAAGGTGTCCTGTTTCCTAAACTGTTACATGCTGCCAAAATCAATACTGGTATCTTTTGGAAAATATTACAACAACAACCTTTCTTTTCCCATTTTTTCCAGTCGTGAAGTGAAGGTCAGCTATTGCATCAGCCGGGTGAATTTGGGGAAGGCACTGGCAGGAGCTGTTGGTCAGTTCCAGGCCCTCCCCTTAAAGGTGATAGTGTCATGGGGGATTACCGACGGGTGATTTAGGAATGTACAAATAAAGGCCGTAGATGGCCTCTGGTTTTTTTATGAGAACAGATTGATATTCAACAGCAGAGAGAGTGAATAGCCATGCCCACACGTGTGTATAAATACACCTGCACACTGAGGGGACCCATTCCCTGCCAGGAGCAGACTGAAGATGGGCTCGTGGGGGACACTGCTGGCTTTCGCCCTGTGTGTGGGATGTGCTTCAGCAGCCACTGTAAGTCAGGTCGCGGCGAATGAGCTACAGCCAGGGCACTTTGAAACCAGGAGAAGAAAATCTGTCCTTCTGAGCGTCATGTTTCAAGTTGTGTGCACAAATTACTATTGTCTATTGGCTGTCCACTGGGTGCCATGTGTTTCAAGTTCTTTAAGGGCAGGAATCGGTTGTTCTGCCCTGACAGCTGGACTCTCAATGCAGGAGAGAAGCTAGGATACCTAACAGCTCAGCTGAAGGCAAAGAGTTTATCGTGCGTCTAAAGATGAATTTAAAGCGAAGAAACTTCAGTATCACGCAAAGCTGCATTCAAGAACTTACTAGAAGAGTGGTAAATCGACACGGTGAGTTAGCTGTCTGAAGAGATCAGGCTGCTGACAGCTAGTCTAATCTCGAGCGCTGCAGCAGCCCGCAGTGTTGGAGACACTTCAGATCCCGAGAGCCTTACTCCTTTCAGCTGAGGCTGGGCAGTGGGATTTCAGAGTTGCATCAGCTGTTGTCTCTGAGCTGCTGATCAATAGGTTTGATTCATTGGCTAATTTTCTAAAAAAATCCTGTCTGTGCAGGTATATATACACAAATACCATTTGGACACTTGTAGATGCTGTTCATGACCACAAGTACTTGAACTGGCATTAAAGCTTTACTCCTGAAATATTTCCATATTTCTAAGATGTCAGATGCTGAGTGCAGCAATGTGTGTGTCTGAGTGTGTGTATCTGCAGCCTGGTGTGTGTATCTGCAGCTCGGTGTGTGTGTGTATCTGCAGCTTAGAGTGTGTGTCTCAGTGTGTGTGTCTGCAGCTCGGTGTGTGTGTGTCTGTGTGTGTGTCTGCAGCTCGGTGTGTGTTTGTATATCTGCAGCTCGGTGTGTGTTTGTATATCTGCAGCTCGGTGTGGTCTACACAGAAGGAGGAATGGTGGAAGGCACACACAAGCGGAAAGGCCTCTTCAGATCCATGGATATCTTCAAGGGGATTCCCTTTGCTGACCGGCCAGGCCGATTCGAGAATCCTAAACCTCACCCAGGGTGGTCAGGTAAAGTCCCCAACACGCCAGGAAATATGGAGTTCTGTGAAATGCCAGCAAAACCACAAAAATAAGCAGCCCCTCAGTGACTGCCCAACTCCCTTTGGCCTCATTTAGTAGTTATTGAAAACTGCTTGTTACCGGGAGCTGATTTAGTCAAGCCCCTGATCTGCCACTTATTAACTGTGTATTCCACTGAGCACTTCACTTCCTGTGCTATTGGATGAAAAGGAAGCGAAGGTTCAGTTATAAATGAGACTGGAGTATTCTTGTGGGAAAGCAATTACAGATAAAATATTGAAGATGGGGAATATGCTCTACTCATACATGGCTGGATTACTAGTTCTCCGTTTTGCACAGTGTTGGTTAAATGCAGAAGGTCCTTTTCCTGCTGCTTGTTATAATGGCGATTGTTCCTGCCTTCTGTCCTGCAGGAGTGCTGAAGGCCACTGAGTTTCGGAAGAGGTGTCTCCAGATTACATTCACCCAGACCAGCACTCGGGGCAGCGAGGACTGTCTCTACCTGAACATCTGGGTCCCTCAGGGCTCTAAAGGTACTGATCCCCACTAGAGCATCTACAGCACATTGATTTGACTGAGGGTAACTGCGGAGTGTCGCCATGGGTAAAGGCAACAGCCACACAGTAGTAGCTCCAATCCTGAAGAATCTCAGAGAGCTTTACAGCCACCATTGAACCTCAGCACCACCACTGAACAGCACCATCATTGAACCTCAGCACCACCACTAGGATCAAGGGAACACAAGTCTTCACCAGTGAAATAAAGGGGGGTGTTAGGTAGACCAGATTGAGACTGACACCCTGTGCTCTGTCCCACCACAGTGTCCACTGGCCTGCCAGTCATGGTGTACATCTACGGGGGGGCCTTCCTGGTGGGGGGGAGCCAGGGAGCCAACTTCCTGGAGAACTACCTGTACAGCGGCGAGGAAATCGCAGACCGCGGCAAAGTCATTGTGGTTACCGCCAACTACCGCGTGGGAACGCTGGGCTTCCTCAGCACTGGCGACGCCAACGGACCTGGTAGGTGTCACTGGAGACGAGGGCGTGGGGGGACTCTGGGGGACTGAGGCCTGAGTCCCAGTCAGTCACCACCTTCAAGGTCACTGGAATAGATGCCAAGAGCCCGCACAGCCAATCCAAACACAGGACGCTGGCTGAGAGAAACAGCTGAGGCGGTAGAGGGCCAGTGGAAGAGTTCCAAAACACGCAGCACTAAAGGTGATGCCTGTAATCACTTGTCCCTTTCCCTTCGCTCGTCCTGACAGCTCTTCTTTTTACAGCTCGAATTATGGAATTCCTAATCCCTGCTTGTAGAATTCTGTGGAGTTCACTCTGGTGGTGGAGGGTGTGCTTTGGCCCGGCTCGCGAGTGTTTTTTCCTGAACTCCAGGGAATTACGGGCTGCGGGACCAGCACGCCGCCATCGCCTGGGTGCACAGGAACATCAAAGCGTTCGGCGGAGACCCCGACAACATCACCATCTTCGGAGAGTCGGCAGGGTCCGCCAGCGTCAACTTCCAGGTGCGCAAGGGCCCGTCGCCACCCTGTTTCTCCGCCTGGCTTTGAGCTCAGCTCCTCTCCTTCGTGCTCCTGTAGCGTGTGGTGTGAACCCTGGCTGTCTGTGGCTGTTCCTGCAGATCCTGTCTCCGTACAACAAGGGACTGATCCGGAGAGCCATCTCGCAGAGCGGAATGGCGCTCAGCCCCTGGGCTCTCAACAGGAACGCCCTGTACTGGGCCAAGAAGGTCTGTATTCCACCTTAACAAACCCACCGGCTTTTTGGGAACTTTTGAAATTCCCCAAGGAGTCGATGATGTTCTTCTGGTGATCGTGGATAATTTTAGTTTGCGGGGCCAATTCAGAATTTGGTTTCCTTCCAACTCACATTAGATTTTCCAACTCTTTGGCATCACATGCCCAGTAAGAGCTCCTGAGCTTCTGAGTCCCCTGCAAAAGACATTTGGCCTTATGTATTTCTATGATAGTAATGCCATGATAGTTTGACTTACCCAATGTAATGAATCCTCCTGGTAAGATTGTTCACATAACTTTTCCACAGAATGGGTGTCTTTGGTTCTGCTCTTTATGGCAACACAAGGAAGGAGGGGGCAGGGCTGTGATTTTACCCTGCTCCGGGTTTATGGAGTCCGGTTCCTCAGCGTTCAGCGATAGAGTTTAATTTGCTGGTTTTGAACTGTGTGCGAAAAACAGACGCCAAGGCTTTTGAGAGCAGGGCGGTTTCCTCAGGAGGGGCGATTGTGCCACCCAGATCCGAGCAGCCCCTGAGGACATCAGTGCGCGAGGGAGGACCTAGTGTCCCGCCCTCTGGGCCACCGATCGCCGGGCCTGACCGTGCACGCTGCTGTCCCGCAGATCGCGGAGAAGGTGGGCTGCCCCACCGACGACACCGCGCGGCTCATGGGCTGCTTGAAGATCACAGACCCTGTGGCCGTCACCCTGGCTGGGGACCTCATGCTTTTCGGCTCCAGCGGTAAGTGAGGCTGCGCATAACAAGGAGAAGTACCTCCTTTGTGTGTTTAAATATATGCTGAGCCTCAGGCAAAAACCGATCGCTCACAACTGCAACGAATCTGCTAAGCTGCTGTCAGGTAAAGGACAATCTTTTTTATAGCACCAGGTTTACTGATGGCAAGAGAGTGGTGGTTTTCTTAACGGAGTCCTAATCATACGTTCATGAAAACGACACCAAAATCCCTATCTAAAATATAAAGCAAAAATAAAATGATGTTTCTTTTTATGCTCAGTCTGTATGCATGTGGGTTCAAGAATGAAAAATAGCTGTATTTCCAAAACTGTGTGAGTAGCCAAGGGGACCATTAACATTGGGTCATGTTTTGAGCTGCAAAGAAACAGAGGTGAGATCTGCCTGCTCTAGGGGTGCAGCTCTCCTCGTGTCCTGAGAACCCGATCAAACCAGACCCATGCGTGCCTTTGGTCCCAGGGTAGACGAACAAGATCCAGCTGGATTTATAACACGTTCCGTGTCACTGCTCGAACCGGCATCATCTGGATCAGAGGATCCAGCCCTCACTGGTTCCAGAGCTGGCCGTGGTGCACTCCCAGGCGGGCTGGGCTCTGCGGCGCCCGTGTGAACGAGACCTGTGCTGTGCCCACAGACCCCGTGGTGTGGAACCTGGGCCTCTCTCCTGTTGTCGATGGTGACTTCATTCCCGACGACCCTGGCAACCTGTTCCACAACGCCGCCGACATCGACTACATCGCCGGCATCAACAACATGGATGGGCACCTGTTCGCTGGCTTAGACGTCCCCTCCATCAACAGGGCCAAGGAGACCACCAACCCGTGAGTGAAGACTCTCCCTCGAGGGGCAGCCTGACCCCTGGGGTCCAGACATAGGCTGTTCGAACCCGGATCATTCTGGCTGGCCGACTGTGGTTGGGGAACTCTAGGAGGTGGTAATATTGCCAAAATGGGGGAGGTGTTTGTTGGCCAGGGTCTTCTCAGCTGGTGTCTTGGCCAGGCACCCACAAGCTTGAGAAACAAAAAAGGTTGCTCCTTCCAATCTGTGCAAATTCTCTTGCAAGCCCCTCTGCACGCAAGAACACATGATTCGAACACGCTCCTGAAAGCCATCCATTGCTTTCGGACTGGGTGGAGTTAAGGTCAATAATGGTTCCCGAATTAAAAAACGCTGTCATCTTAAATGCTGGCTATGGCAAAGCGCTGCCGACGTCAGTCGGAATTACGCGGGCATTCGTCTCTGGCAGAGAGGACCTGAAGAGGCTGCTGAGGGGCCTGACCAGGGAGAAGGGGGAGCAGGCCGTCCAGAGCGCCTTCGAGCTGTACACACAGAACTGGGGCCCGTCGCCCTCACAGGAGACCATCAAGAAGACGGTGGTGGACGTGGAGACCGACTTCCTCTTCCTTGCGCCCACAGAGTCTGGTCTCTACCTGCACGCTAACAATTCCAAGTAAGCTCACCTGTCCCCAAACCCTCATGACAGCAGTGCTATAACAGAGCATCCTTCCCCCAGTTTTCTGTTTATCTATTTATAGACTGATATGGACTCGTGGCAATGAATATTAATTGGCTTTTGCCCTTTCACAAAGCTGGAGGGGGAACTACACCTTCTAAATAGACTTCAACTTTTCCCTGTGGCACATATTAAGTCAAAGTTCAGAGCCACAGACTCCTCCAGCAATGTGAAGTGACCAGAGCCAATTAATATTTCATTAATGGCCCGCATGGTCGTGAAACACACCATGAATTTTAAAGGCGTTTCTTGTAAGATACCTGTCTGTCTCGCCCGTAGCTTCTTATAATTAGGTCTAAAAATAGCCTTTATATCATCAATGTATAAATAGAGAAACGGTTACCTATAATCAATGGAATAGGTGGTGAGTTCAATTAGAAAATGGCACAGTCAGATCTGTTTGTCATATTATGAGCTCCCTGTCTTCTCCAGGGGAGAGAGATTTCCTGGGAAAGATGTACAACAATCCATCCTACGGTATAAAGCATATCTGTTCCTTCATTGCCTTAAAACTGTAATTGGCGCATTTTTAATGCAATATGGTGGACATGAAAACAGTTGTTTCCTGGGGTTGACCTTTGAACTTCACTGTTTCCCCTCCCTTTCTCCCTCGCCTGGGGCGTCAGGACCGGTCGCACCTACTTCTATGTCTTCTCCATGCCTTCCCGGATCCCAATCTTCCCCAAATGGATGGGCGCGGACCACGCCGAGGATCTCCAGTACGTCTTCGGGAAGCCCTTCACCACGCCGCTGGCCTATTTCCCCCGCCACCGAGATGTCTCTGGTTACATGATCGCCTACTGGACCAACTTCGCCCAGACAGGGTAAGCGTCCCTGCGGCCCGCGCCCTTCTCCGAGCTGCACGGAGCACGAGGCCGGAGCCACCAGGAACAGCCACAGACAGACAGCTTCTCAGGCTCTCGGCCATTTCTACACCAGATCAATTTCCATGTCCTCTCGCCTCCATGGGCTGAACAAGCAGAATGTTTCATCTGCGATGGACTGGTGTCCTATCCAGAGTGTTCCCTGCCCCCCCGCGACCCTGGGAATGGATGGATCGTTTATTATTTCTGGAATTCTGATTAATTCGCTATCCCTAATGTTCCCACCATTTACTATCACCTCCTGTTGATCTGGTGTGAGTTACCAGGTGTATTACTCTGATAATGCTGCGTTTTGAAGGGTAGGAATTTTTCAGCATGTCTTTTGGATCACCTTGTGCCCCTTTAAACTCACTTTGATCCGATTCGTTGGGACGCGTCGGAGCACCGCCGCCCGTGGATGAGGAAGCGAGGCACGTACCTGTGGCTGAGCGGGGCGTGTCCCGGCTTCATCTGCAAGCGGAACAAGGCCGAGAGGCGACGCTGTGCAGGAGGGAAAGATCAATCAGTTCACCATGTTGTACAACGGGAACATTTAGAGCTGTGTCAAACATTATTTCACCTGAACTAACCCATGCAGTTGTATGGTGCCAGAAGTGAAATGGCAGTGTTTAAAATAATTCACCTTTGGGTTCCCAAAACCCCGTGTTACAGGCCATAATTGTATTCCGAAGTGTACCTCTCAACAGGACGTAATCATGAACTACACAAACCGTGGGAGTCCTTCTGATTAATCCCTCTCTCCCGCAGTGACCCCAACAAAGGAGAGTCCAAGGTACCAGCCCAGTGGCCACTGTTTACCAGCACAGGACACAAGTACCTGGAAATCAACAACAAGATCAACCAGAACTCCATCAAGGCCATGCTGAGGACTCGCTTCATTCATTACTGGACCTCAACTTACCACAGTCTTCCCCCCTTTTCCAATTCCACTGCAGAATACTGAGCCCCGCCTTGTGACGGTGGGAACCCCTCCCACTCACCTTGTGCCCCGCCCCCACGCCAATGTAGCCCCGCCCCCAGCCACCCCCCACCTCTCACTGTGCCGTTTCCCAGTCCGCCCACACCCATCCACGTGCGCCACACCTTCGATTAACCACACCTGTGTCCCCTTCCCCACCTGTCTTCCAGTTGCCACAGCGTGTGCTGTGTTGGCACGGGATGAAGTTCAATATTCTACCTTTGCCCTTCTCACTAATGCATTTCTCTGTACTCGCCCGTCGGCGCCCCTACCACTTGTATGCTTGATATTTTTCGTAAAAATGAATGGTAAAGTTAGCTGTATATGTACTGGCATAGAATAGATTGCTGATTTCTCTTAATACGTTAGAACAAATGAATAGAGGGCCTTAACGACCTAGCTGGAAAGTTTTGTTACAGACACCCACAACTCTTGGTGTATAGAACTGTTTCCTATTTGCCATCTTAAATGAAAGCAGTTTCTTCAAGATTTGATATGCGAGTCCGACTCTTGCTGCTCAGCTGGTGGGATTGCTGCTTTCCCTGCTGAACTGTTTCTATGCCTGTAATCAGTCTTCCAATAAAACACAGCATCAACCTGCTTTCTGCATCTTCAAACCTTCACATTTGGTCAGCAGAACAAGGATCCCATCGGGCGTGTCTGCTTCGCAATCATGAGCAAAGAGACGAGGTTTATCACACTGCAGATATTTATTAACTGTCCCCCCCCAACATAATAAACAGCGCTTGCAGGAAGGGACAAGCTGCTGTTCCGTTATACAAAAGACACAGGCAGATCGACAAGAAATGAAAGCTATGAACAAGAAACTGGGAACTAACGTTTACCGTATTATAAACTTCATATATTTATATATTAATTTATAATTTCATAGGAACAGAAAATGTACAATGCTACACAATGACACTATGTACAAATCAATAAATAAGGCCGGGGCCAAAAAAAGCCAAGTTACAAAGGACAAATTTCAGTATTCAGTTTTCTTGTACAAAAAATACAAAAGAAAATGGAAAAAAGGTGACTTTTGTTTAGAAAAAGTTTGTCATATGTTTTCAAGTAAGAGACAGACATGGCACCAGTTTTCCACCAGTATTTCCCAAGGGGTGAACCGTTCCAGGTTCAGTCTTTCAGAAGTGCCACGGGTGCAGAGGCCGGGATGTTCTGCGGCGCTTTCTTACGATATTTGCCCGTTTTCTCCCACACCTAGGTCTTTGGCAGATAATATGAGCAAACAGGAGTCTCCTCCCCGCCCCGTCAGGAGCCTGTTATTAACAGCCGGGGGGTTGGCTCTCACTGTAGCACATCTGCAAAAACCTGCTACTTAAAGAATCCATTAATTAGCTGCTGATGAGGCCTGAAAAAAAGCTTGCCCAACAGCTGCTACTATATATATTAAGCTTATATTCCCAATGAATGTGAGAATTAAATCCATTACCCTCCTATTAAAATTCTGACACTTGAATGCGTGACTAATTCAGTCCGTCTCTATGTGCTAGAGAACCCACTTTCTCACAATTATCAGGAACCATTTGATTAAGGACTGATGACTCACGCTTTCACATTTTCTTTCATTTGTGCTTAATATGATAATTACAGTGGATTCTTAAAGTAGGGGGTTACTGCACTGGCTGCTCAGACTCCTGCTACGCACACGTCACCAACTCCAGGGGCGAATGATTCCCCTAGAAAACGTGGAGCAGGCCCTGCCTCCGAGTGCCGCTCGAGGGGGAAACCTGCTCGGGCCTCTTCCCGGTCAGCCCCAACCCCTCCCCGCCTGGGTGAAAATCGAACCCGTGCCGCCGTGCCTGTCAAACGGGAGATCGTCCTCGGCCGCCCGCTCCATCTCCATCCTGTGCGCCGGGCTCTGCGTTGGCGTTCTCGCCTGGACGCGCTCGCCGTAGGGCTGGGGAGCCCGGTTCGGGTGGCAGCTTGGAGAGTCGCAGCCCTCTGGCGGGGAACAGTATCGCGGTCTGGGACAGGCGTCCCAGATGAACTGTATGGCTGCCCCACCCCTCCTCCCCACCCAGCCTTCCCTGCTCTTTGGCACATGTAGAATAAACACAGCGCTGCCCCTCCCCTGCACTGGCGGTGAAGAAGCACAAGGGGGCGCCGTGTGTCAGGCACTGTTTCCGCACGTCTCCCCCCCAGTCGGACCTCAGGCTGGCCTCCTCTCGCCTCGTCTCCGCCTCCCCCATCTGCTCCCTCTCTTCCATCACCCCTGAAATACGCAGAAACGGGGATCGGAGCCAGTTCCTCTCTCGCCTGCTGGCCTGGTGTCCGCAGCAACCCTGCTCAGAGCCGGCGCCGCCGTGAGGTTTTGGTTTTTGAAGGGATGACAAGGCAGGCTGCCGCCCTTCGCCCAGGGCCACAGGAAAAGAGAAGCCCAAACGTTAAGGGCTACACAGGGGAATAAAAAAAGACCTTCACAGACAAAAGTTCACCCCGACTGCTCAATCCAAGTCACTCTCCTGTCAGACAGTGGGGAAGGGGTTTCTAAAATGACCGCTCTCCTCCAGTGCAGACACGAGGAGCGCCGGCCAGTCCGGCGGTCACAGAAAAGTCCATCAGACACTTCCGGAGTTTCTGCGGGCGGGTCCTGTTCTGAGCTGTTGAACGTAAGGGCTCCCTCTAGTGGCAGGAGGAGGGAAATGCGCCCCCAACGAGACCTTCCGGATTGTCCTCACTGAACTCCGCCCGGACCCCCAGCGCTCCCTACATGCGCAACCGTCATCGGAAAGCACAGGGCAGTCTCTCTGCAAACACAGCGACCCCTGCAGGCTTCACAGCGCCTACGCGACTGGTCCTGGGTCAGATGCGAAACATCTGTTAGCACCACTTGGAGAAGAGAAGAGCAAAAGCAAAAAAAAGGATTTGTTATGATGCCCTTGCTTAACGTCACGTAAGCAACCCAGACATATTTTTTGTTGGTAAGTACTAAGGATACTGTTTAAAATGGAATATTCTTTCTTTTCTCTCGTATCTGCAGTTAAAAGTCCTGGGAAATAAAGTATGTATCTGTCAACAGCTTGGAACCAAGAGGAGACTGCTCCGTTTCTGGGCCCCTGGCAGGTCAAAGGTCAGTACTGCCCTGTCTGGCGCAGTAGTGGTTATTGATACAAGGCTTAGAAGATCTTTGCCACTTTTCAAGCTCAACTGTCTCACCGTTTTGGGTCTGATACTCTTAGGCTGGGTTTGGTAAAAATCTACCAAAATATGAGAAGTTATGTGGTTCTTTAGCTTAGATATAAAGAATAAGATTCTTAGTGTTGGAGAAACCCTCCTGATAAACTCAGGAAGTGAGTCCGAAGTGTCTTCATGGAGCCACGCGTCAGTGGCTTGACTGTCCCTGCGGTTCACAAAGCGTCTCTGCCCCCACAGGGGCCGGAGGACGGTCTGGACAGCAGACCCTTTCTCCTCCGAAACAGACGCCGCGCTCTTTCAGCTCGCGCGAGAAAGCGGAGAAACGTCTTTTTGTTCGCACATCCCGGGAAAACGGAGGCGCTCTCCTTTCCGGGAGACCCCGTATCCTTCATGTCCCAGCCCGCGCTGCTCCAGGGAGCAGGTTGCCACAAAGCGTCAGTTAACACGTCCACACACAGGGCAGTGATCTTCGTCGTCGTCGTCGTCGTCCCCGGCGACCGTTGAGAACCGGCAGCACTGGCACCAGGGCTGTCAAGACACCAGCTCCCGCGCCATCAGCGCCGTCCCGCTGACTCCATGAACCACGCTTTCACATCGCACAGTCTGTGGAGATTCCCTCTTTGTGGTTTTTTCTCCCCGAGTGAAATACTGTTGGCGGTTCTCCGACGCGAGGCCGGGCCTTCAGAAGATGCCCTTGGCGATCTTCAGGCCTTTCTGCTTCATGCGCGGCAGGGTGGAGCTGGCCACGTGCTTCTGCCTGCTCCCCTTGGGGAACCCCCGTTTCTTCAGGACGAAGTCGTAGTTGGCCGAGGAGTTCATGGCGTAGAAGACGTTGGCGTTATCGGGGATCTTCAGCTCTATGGGGGAAGGAGAGGAACGAAATGAGAGCAGGGTGGAGGTGATTACCCCGGACGCTAGTGTCTAGGCTGTGCTATAGACTTTTTAATGGCATAGGTGTCACTGTCTGAAGCCCTGAGGATCAGGACCAGGCTGTCTCCTGGTCTCTTTCTTTCCTCATGAGTTGGTTCGCTCAGAGAAGACCCACCTTTCTCCTCCGAGATCTTCTGCAGGAGCTCGTAGTCCTCCGGCCTGTCGCGGTCCAGGTTGTGTTTCACCATGGCCTTTCGGATCACTGCCGGGGTCTTGTCCTGACTGGTCACCTGCGGCACAAATTCATGTTCACCGGGCTCATCGGAGTCCAAAGCCAAACGTGTTCAATGGCTTTCCAGAAGGAACGCTCTCCCGCCCCGTCATTCCGAACGAGGCTCCGTCCTCGGTTTCGAGCGCAGCCGCTTCTTCCCCTCCCCTCCCCGCCCGTCCCCCCCAGCGACTCACCAGTATGCTCTTGTACATGTTGCCGTTGTCGACGTCCAGGCTGACGCGGATGATGCAGCAGTCGTCCACCTGCTGGTTGTAGAGGGGCAGGGAGAGGGACGAGTAGCTGGAGATGCCCGAGACGGAGCGCTTGTGGGAGCGCGAGGCGGTCACGGGGGTCGAGGACACCGAGGAGGACGAGGCGCTGCTGGAGCCCGAGCCCGAGCCCATGCCCGACGTGTCCAGAGACGACAGCGACGTCGACTCCCAGAACTGGGCAGCAGGGGGCGACAAGGAGCAGGAAAGCTTTGTTACAGGGAAGCTTGGTCTCCAGCTGGAGGCTTCCGGAGAGACTGCAGCTGTGATTCTGCACAAGAGCGTCCTCAGCCAAGTCAAATGAGCTTGAATAGAGTTTTAGGGACATGCTGGCATGAACTGGGGTGATTTAAGGGCTTTAAAAGTTGTGTTCATGGCTCAGCTAACTCATTGGCTCAAAAGATCCTGTGCATGCAAGACATGCTTTTCTCATCCTGGCAAAACCAGCATTCCTGATCAACAGGTCAACAGGCCAGTCCTGAGCTACAGTGGTTTTAACACTTTGATTTAACAGAAGAGAGGGTAACAGATGGCACAATTTACACACAGAAAACGCAGTCCACCTTCCTTAGTTTTCTAGTTTTTGTGGTTTAATTTAACCGAGAGGATGAATGTAAAACCACCTGTTAAAAAAACGACTCTTCTAGTCGCAGAGTTTATATCTTTTATTGGATTGTGCAGACTTTTGAATAAGCAGTCCAGATTTTCTAGAAACCCCTCAGCTGAAATCACCCAGGCTGCACAAATTTTGTCTTACGAGTGGACAGAATTACAGCAATTAGGTCCTCCAGCAAGCACAAAACACGCTCTTTCATCCCGGCACACAGGGTGAACAAATAGTTAATCGGAGCCACTGTGAAACGGCATCGGAAGAACAGGACGGACGACTGTTTGACAGACAGACAAAAATAAAGAAATACAAAGGAACATAAAGACAAAATGTTGTGAAATGACGTGTGTACAGTTTAGACACAATGGCTCCAATACTGCGTGCATGAGCAAAAGACCTGACTTGCACATGAAAAGTGCTGTATATTCACACGACATTCTTCTATTATTCTTATTATTATCAAACAATGGCGACCCCATTCCCCAAGAGACAGCAACAGAAAATGTCACACAGAGTGAGGAAAGAAATCTTTAAAGTCAAGTACCGTGGTCACGGGTTCTGCCAGCACACATCCCCTGCCTAAGGCCGAATTGGAATGTTTTACTGTGGGCGTGGCGTTCTACAAAGGAATCAAGACTGCAGTCAGCAGAGAGGCACTGACAGAGCACAGTTTCTACAGACAGTGAGGCTGAGCACTGCCCCTCAAACACATTCTTCTTCTTCATCATCATCATCACCACCACCACGCGGCAAAATCTACACCCTTCTCAGGGCTCAAAAGATATGTGAGAAATAGGAAATGTGAGAAACACAGCAGTGTGCAAATTCACAACACCACCACAGGATCTGTCACTTATTGGGGGTTTGCATGAGCACTGTGTTCAGTAACTTCAGAAATACATCTTACTGATTTCTGTATTGGACACGTGACGTGGCATGGATAAAAACAGTTCCTGGGAGTGTTGTGACACATGGAATGGGAACTCTCTGTTAGGTCATCTTTCCAGAAGGAATAATGCGATGGGCTTCTCCAGTCCAGTTCTGTACCTCTTCCGTGAAACGTTGCTGGGGTTGGATAGGAAACCCGACATTTTGATCAGTCTGAGCAGTCATCTTCCTGTGGTGACTGCTCTTCCGACGCTTTCAGTAAATGCGACCACGTTTCACGTGTGAAGAAAATCACAGCTACAGATTTGTGAAATGGGAGGCTGTCAAGCAGATGGATGTGCACGTTACTGCACAACCGCTTCGGAAATTAAGGATAATATTAACAAGTAGGGAAACTAACTAGTACTAATAATAATAATACAGGACAAAGCATTCTGCAAGCTTTGCTTTAGCCAAAGCTCTTGCAGCTGAACAGCCTGAGTGCTGGCTGACAATCAGACTGATCCCAGTTACAGGGAATCTGTCTGCTCCCTGCTAGTGTGCTGCAGGTGGAGAGTACAGTGGCGATTAGTAACGAAGCCTGTCTGGGGCTCGAGCAGAGACCTTCATTGGGTTCAAATTAACTCTTGCTCCAGAGACACAGTCTGAAGCCCAGGGGCCAAAGGGACCCAGGAGGCTCTCCGGCCCCCCCGACCCCAGCCCGCCCCCTGACCCACCTTCTTCTCGTGGGAGTCCGGGGACTCGGAGGCGAAGCTGACGTTGATCTCCTCCACGTCCGAGCTGCTGGAGCCGGCGGAGGTGACGCTGACCGAGTCGCCCCCGTCCCCCCCCGGGAAGGGCCCGTAGCGCAGCTGCTCGAAGGACTTGGAGTGGCAGCTGCCCACGCTGCTGCTGGCCTCGGCGCTGGCGGGCTGCCGGCTGGAACACGCAGAGGCACAGCACAGCCGGGTCAGCACAGGGACACACAGAGGGGCACAGCTCCGATGCACTGCCTCGTATGATCGAGGTCTGAACGGAGGCATGTTCAGTTCAACAATCGGTCTGCAACGCTGCCCGTTTCTTCTGGGCCTTGCAAGGTACCCACAACATGTGCTTGTCGGGCACCAGATATGTATGTAAATATGAACCGGAGGCCAGAAGCCACCTGTGCCAGCACAGTCGGAGGGCTCCCAGTCTGCAGGAACAGCTGCTCCACTTACTCGCTCCAGCGCTTGATGATGCCGCTGTTCTTCTTGGCCTTCAGCGTGTTGCTGGCCGACTCCGACAGGGGCTCGATCTCGCAGGACAGGCTGTAGCTGTGAGGAACAGAGACAGGAATCTTTAGCCAGAATTCCCCTCAACCTCTTACACAACAACAGGATCACCTACGTTCTTATATCCAGGATGTGTCCCACCCTGTGCCTGCTGCTTGCTGGGTTACACTCGGGCTCCCCAGTGGCTCCCCCAGTATATTAGTTAAAAAGACAGATTACAAGCAAGATGCCATTCAACCCATCTAGCCCATTTGGTAGTGTCAAGGTGGTTTAAAAGCAATTTATTCCCTAAACAAGCTCCTTTGTATAACTATTTACAGGGCTAAGTCTGAAACAGTATGCAGAAGTGGATTATGAAGCAATTCAGACCTGTTCAGGAGGCTGGTGTCGGTAACAGCACAACACTGATTACAGTACACGTTTCTAGAGCATTCAAGCTTCCCCAGGACAGTCTCTCTTCTTCCTCTCCATCTTACCTCTCCGCCTCACTGAGTCTCTCCACCCCGGAAAACCACTCGACAAACTGGCTGTCCTGAGTGAAGTTGTAGTTGTTGCAGGCCAACTGCAGGAGCTTGATCTGGGCGATCACCTCGAACTCCTGCAAGGCAGAGGAGGACAGTCTGCAACAGGCTGGCGGTCCTGGCAAGCCCACAGCTCAGCCTGCTATGCCTGGCTCACTTAACAAACTGGTCAATGTTGTGTGTCGATTGGATGCAGCCACTTCCCCGGCTTTTAAATAAATGAGGCAGACAAGGACATGTACCTGCAGGTTTGTAAGGTATGAAAGGCAGTGGGAGAGGGCAGCTGCAAGACCTCCGCGCCTCTCTGGTGTTTTGAATTATGTCTCTGCCTCCACAATGATAATAAGGGATACTTGTCGGTAATTAATGGACAGAACAGATTAACAAATAATTCTCCACACGACCTGAATGTTTTCCGGTGAGAAACGCACATGTCCAGATAGAACTGGCCCTTAATGGTCTATCGCCGCATGAAATGTTGAGAAATCAAATCATTCCAGTCATTCATTCTAGATGTGTAGACCTAAATCTAATTAGAACACATTCCAACAGCGTGTAGCTTGCACCGTTAATTAAATCAAACGAAGTGAAACTGAATCCTTACCTTCCTTCTTTTTTCAAAATTGATCAATCCCCCCTGTAGTGGAGAAAAGAAATCAGAAAGAGACGTCGATTTCAGGATCGCTCAGCACAGTGCACTCAGCACACAGCCCTGCGCGCGCCTGCATCTCTGGTGAACGAAATCTACTGCCTCTGCTCAATGATGATGTGGCAGAGGCCATTTTAAAACAAGAGCAGAAGCTGACATTCGCTGTCCGTGACACAGGTAGAGGGCCCGCTCCTGAAGAAGGCTCCACAGCTGAAACAGCTTTTCTTTTCCTTTCGGTGTGGATTAACCCTTTACCCCCCTTGTTTCAATGTCTGGTCTGCAACTCTTTTTACAAAAGGGAGAAGCGCGTGGAGATCGCACTACCCCCGGCCAGCACAACGGCAATCCTGGACAGCAGTGCTGGAGGACGTTCCCGAGACTTGACCGGGAGCTGCTGGGAAACACGCGGACACCCAGGGCCAGTGCAGGGACACTTACGTCCAGGAAATCCTTCATGGCGGTGTCCATCATGACCAGGTCCGTCAGGAAGGTGCCCAGGTAGGGAATAGTGCCCTGCATCACGCCCTGGAACACAGCGCAGGGGTTAGTGTGGAGAAACTGGTGGGAAGGAACTGGGATCCATCAGACTGGCGTCTCAGAGCAAACACTGTCGGTGGGGCAGTGGTGCTTAAGCCCCAGTACGACAGGGAGAGGGACAGTCAATGTCACCAACCAGCTGCAAATGACTCAGATGAGGGTGGCAGGGTGGTGCAAGGGTAAGTAGAGCCGGCTCGCAGCGCTGGGGCCCTGGGTTCAATTCCAGACCAGGGGTGCTGTCTGTGTGGAGTTTGCATGTTCTCCCCATGTTAGACTGACTGTTCCGGTTTCCTCCCACAGCCCAGAGACATACTAGTGGGTCCACTGGCTTCTCGGAAAATTGACCCCAGTGTGAGTGTGTGTGCGCGTGTCTGTGTGTGCCCTGTGTTGGCCTGGCGTCCCATCCAGGGTGTATCCTGCCCTGCCCACTGTGCCCTGTGACACCAAATTGGTTGAAGCAAAAAAATGGCTGGATGGACTCAGAAGAGTTCTGAACTGTAATTATAAGTGACCTGCAATTCTGCTAAAAAACCACTAGAGGGTACTCGTAGCTCATGCTGAGACATCAGCCTTCACAGCTGAGGGAAGCAGACTTTCTGCACCCCAGAAGACAGCATTTTAATTCCAAGAGTTTCTAATGTACATTCAAAGGGCAAATCTTCAGCAGCTAGAACGGTCTTTACCATTACATCAAAAACAGATCGACGCAGGCTCATCGACGCTTCGAAGTTCAATTATCAAGTTAGTATTGCACAACAATGATGCGCGTCTCCTCTGGGACGTCCCACGCCAGAACGTCTCGCTCTTACCATCTCTCTCTGCTGCTGGTGCCGTTTCTGTGCCCGTTTGGGGTTGATCTCCAGGGTGGCGAATTTTGAGGTTCCCTCCTGGAAAGAGCAAACAGACGCACGCCGGTATGAGGCCAACTGCAGGGATGTCAAGTCTTGGAAGTTGCAGGAGCACATCTGCAGGTATAGACCCTGAGCCCACAATCCTTTTTTTTCCTGGATCTATACGTCTTTTTACACCATACAGGAAGTGGTGGAAGACAAATCCTCCATTGTGCGTTTTGAAGACCTTCAGCATTTGATGCTGCAGTAAAGCGTGATCAGCTTTCTCCGATTACAATACAGACTTTTCTTTCACAGTAGACAATAAAGGAAATTGAGGTGTCCTGAAATATATAGACCAACACTGTCTCCTGGAAGCCGGTGTGCACTTTTTACAGTGCCACGTCATGTGACTCACTGCGCGGTGTTCCAGCTGAGCGTAAGAGATAAGAGATTGTGAAACCCCCCTACCGTTCCCCCACCCGGGATACCCCTCGCTGACACATCTGCAAGGCGGGGCTCTTATCAAGGCCTGCTGCCCGTTGTGATGCCACGAGGGATTCTCCCCCGTCTTCACAGAAACACGCCCCCCCCGACGGGCCTCTCCTGGAAATACTCTTAGAGCACCACATCGCGTCTCCATTACAGCTGTGTGGAACTTAATCTGCCCGCAGCAAGGAATCTCTGCAGGTAGAGGCGGCCTGCCTTCTGCCGCAGAGCGAGGAATCCCACAAAGGACGGGAGAATCGGCCAGAATCGGAGCAACGCCTCTCAAAACGCGTCTACCTTGTCTAGCGGGGAAGAAGGATTCATCCCGCAGGACTGTTAGAAAGGCACTCTGATTCTTGACACACTGTCACTCTTCAGCTAAAAAAACTCCAGAGGGGGGGAAAAAACGTAGGCTCCCGACTTCTGAGTATCAGCGACGCGGGGTAATGGCGGCATCACCCATACTCAACGGAAAACATTTTACCGTCTGCATTTTCCTAACTCGGAGCTCAATAGCAGGTCTCGTCAAACGTGATCTGTGAGGTTTTTTAATGAAAGTAAAATGCCAAACCTGTCAGTAGAATGCCCGTCCCGTTACGAGCTCACTGAAATGGCTGTGTTCATTAACACTCCTAGTATAGGGGAGCGAGAACGTGCAGGAATCGGTGTGTTTTGGTGTTATTGTGCTAACCACAGCTCTGGGTATAAATAACAGTGGCCAATCTGCACTCGTAACTAAGAGACAGAAATGAAAGCAAATGCTCTTTTAGTTGTGGTTGTGAAACCTAGCCACTGACATGCCACAGTGGGGTCCGAAACGATGAGGCGTGACTTGGTTTCTGGTGACCTTTAAGTGTGCGCTGCAGGCTCTCCTCGTGCCACAAGACAGGTGCACGGCCACATCCTGCCTCTCTGCGCTGCCGAGCAACAAGCCCCTGCTTCTCAGAAGGGTGGTTTACTGCAGCTGTGTGAGTCAGCACGCTTGGCCAGGCCCTCACCCGGCCCCACTGCACTGAAAACCAGAGCAGCACCCCCCCCAAACCAGCACCGGCAATGTCCTGTCGCTACAGCACGAAGTCAGCAGTGCAAGTTTGCAGGGGACGAGCAGCTGGAGCCACTGCGCAGTCCGTTACTGCAAAGGCCGAGCAGAGAGGAGTCTGATGAAGGCCATCACTGTGGAGAGTAATCCTTTGGCAAAACTGACATGAGAGATCACAGCACCCCTTGGTGCATTTTAATATCTTGATGTATCATCATATTTTGGACCGTACAAGGACCACCGCCCCCGCATGCCTGACAGAAATACAGAACATCTGAGCAGCGCACTAAAGAAAGTGAAAGAACAACAGAGCGCTGATCGTAGGATTTCGGGAGCTTGCAAGCTGCGGTGAGCTGGGAGAACTGCTCCAGACCTGAACAGGCCTACCTTGATGAGGAGCTCGCGGCTCAGGGAATGGTTGTTCTCATCCGAGAAGATCTCCGACAGCTCGTGAAAGATTCGGAAGTTCTCCCTGTGGATAAAGCAGTAAGATATACACTGTAACTGAGGACAAAAAAAGAAGAATAGAATTTGTAATGAAAGACTCCTTGGAACAAATCCTCCTACTCTTATCCGTCTTACCTGGAGACCTCCTCCCACGTCTTCCTTAGCCTGTAAACAGAGTTGCACTGCAGGGCCGAGAGGATGGCCCTCAGGGAAGAGAAATTCTTCAGGATTCGGCATTCCTGAAATAACACGAGACAGAAAATCACCGATTCTGTGACGTCAGACGTTTCCATGATAGCCGCTGCAACAAAAACTCAGAAATAACGGATTCCCAGCTAACGGCACACAAGTCAATCTAAAGTGAGAAAGAAAAAGGCCGTGAAAGTTTATGCTCCACTCCTGACATCCGGTTGGGCACAAAATAAATGTGCGCCTTACCCTGGCCACCTCGATCCACCTGTCCACCACCTTGGCTCGCTGGGCGGGCTTGAGCGCCTTGTCGCCCAGGCAGGTGGCGATGACGCAGTTGGTCACGCTGTTGAACTGGGTCACGGTGGCACGGATGGTGGGCGCCAGGTGCTCCTTGCCCTTCTTGTCCCGCTGAGACCAGATGCCGCCCAGGCAGTGATAGGGCACCACCTTCTTAAAGAGCTCCTGCACAGCGAGACAGCACGGGCTTCAGAACAGCGAACAGCTTTTCCCCGTTCCCTGTCCTGGGGGGTTAGTTCCCCTTCATGCACAACAGGGCAACACACGAAGAAAATCGTCAGATAATGGCAACTGGCAACTGCACAAAAGACAAATCCTTTGACTTCTACATCCTCCACTATGGACAACGTGGACACTGATACTTCTGCACACGGGCAAGTTGCCAGCCCTGCTTGTACTAGAAGAGCCGACTGGCCCGTCTTTAAAAGCCCCTCTTTAGAGACGCAACACCACTTGCGTCCTGTCTGCAAGGCTGCGCTGCTTGGAGAGATAAAAAGGCAAAGCCACTCGGGTTCTGTAATTTCCAGATTCGCGGCTGAAAGACTGAGCGCCACTTCTATTCGGGGCTGTAGGCTTCTTTAATTAAGACCACTCTAAAGCAGATGCCTGGGCATTGACCCATCCCCTTTGGAACAGCTTCACAACAGTTCTGCCTGGTTTAACCCATCATCATTAATTGGTCTGCGCAATGGAAACGTTTTCAGATCACTGGCAGCACCTGACATCTTGGACATCCTTCAGCACTGAAGGAGCTCCTCCAAGACTGGGGTGAGCCACACCCAGCTCTTTGTGAAATCCGTACAAAGGCCCTCCGAGCCAACGTGCAGCTGGTGGCCGAAAGACAAGCGAGAGGGAACAGCAGCCTCACCGCGTCCATCAGCGTGAACTGTTCGGCCACGACCGGGGGCGGGAAGGACATGAAGTCCGGGCGCTCGTAATCGAAGCCGTTCTCCTCCAGCATGGTGAAGGTGCAGGCGCTGTGGTCCAGCCCTGGCAGGGGGCACACAAGCAAGACACATTTATTCATTCCTCCTCACACAACAACACTCTCCTCTCCTACCGCTATCAACGCCTCTATGCGCTGAAGCAGGGTTTGCGCAGCGAGTCTGCTGGACTGGGACTGGGAAACGCTCAAGGCCTCTTCACTGGGCGATTGGAGATCAGGAATTACACGACACTTCAGCTACAGGCACAAACAACTCCGTAAAAGCCGCCTTTGTAATCTCGCTCAAGTGACCGGGAGGTGATGAACGGACCTGCGGTGATCGCTGACCCCAGACAACACCTCCATCAGCAGTTAGACTGTCAGCTATGAGCCTTCTGGGGAGAGCTTGTATGATTTGTACCTATCGTCTAGAAACAGGAGGAGCGTTTTTCTTCTTTTCCCTTACTTAGGAGGGACCAGGATTGAGCGCTTCAGCTCGGGAGCTTCGGCGACGACTGCTCGACCAGCCGAGAGCAGATCCTATACAGGGCTCTCTCTTAAGGAGAGCTCCTGCAGCTGATATGTTCTCGCTACATTCCCACGCAGCTGTCAGACACCAGAGGATCGCGCGTGGTTTCATGGCTTGTGGATGCCCCTTGTGGGGCGGCCAGCAGATGTTGTGGGTGAGGGACACTCCGCTGTGCCACAGTACTTTTGGTCCCTTTTTGTTCCCAGAAGGCAATTCTTAATAACATCTGGGAATTCTGGGAACAAAATGTGATCTAGATCTGTATGTCTGTCCATCAGTGTGTCGCTGCAGGAAAGAGCATGATCCCACTTGCCTGGGCGTCACAGGTCTTATAAGTGCGAATTGTGTTTGGCGTCTGTCGATCGCTCCCTGCGTGACGGTACACAGTGACGTCCTGACCGCTCTGAAGGCGGCTGGACAAGCGAACCCTGGGCTTCCCTACCGTCCTGCTCGGGTTCACAGTGCTGCCGGCGGTGAAACTGGGCCAGCAGGTTGCAGGCCCTCCTCTCCAGGTCAGAGCCGGGGAAGTTCAGGTGCAGGTAGGAGATGAGGCGGCGCAGGCTGGAGTACTCCGGAGGCTTCCAGAAATCCTCGGAATACTGATCCAGCCAGGCCCCCAGGATGGATGAGATAGTGCTGCGACAAGGGACAGAGACAAAGAAAGGTTAATTAGCACAGAGTCAGGGCCAGGGCAGGTCTGATCGTTCAAATCATCCGTAGCCAACTGGAAAGAACTACTAAGTAGCAGTGTGTTGCATCCGTCTCTCACTGTGTGTCTCATGTGTTCATTTCTTATGTAGCAGCATCTCAAAATAAAGTATAACGCATGAATCCTGCATGAACCCCAACTGCACTGCATACAAGAATGACGGGTACACAGTCTGCTCTTTCTTTCTCGAGCGGATTCTTTTAACTTGTTTTAATGTTCCGATGAGAGGCTACGTTTCTCTCCTCAAATAAAAACACATGCTTCAGTTTCCATTCCAAACGAAGTGATAAAAGGTAAATGCTACATGAAAGAGGGGCAGGCGCAGATGGTGGAATTATCAAAGCCTACACTGAAAATCAAAGAAATGTCCTGATAATGAGGGAAACAAAGCATGATAATATTACAATCGTGCACAATTGGGAGCAGGAAAACTAACAGGATTTGTCCGATTACTTGATAAAAAACATCAACAAGTTCAGCAGAAGCTAGACAGATTTTTCATGAATGCACTCCTTTAATCTTGAAATCAAAAATTGTCTTAATTTGTACCACAGAAAAGAGTATTTTAAAAACTGTTGTTAGTACACCAGATTTTTTGTTAAACCAGAACTCTGTCGGGTCACAGCCAGTAAGTGTGTTGCCTCTCAGCAGGAGTGCCAAGTGTCACCTACTTCTTCAGCTCTGTGCGGTCATCATGGGTCAGTCTGGAGCCCTCTGCGCTGGTCTGCTGGTGCAGCTTGGCATACCTAGAGAAGCCACAGGGAACACAGCTGTTAGTGTCTAATGGGGCAGTCTGGAGAATCCATCTTTCCAGAAAACTGTTCTCGGGGAGACATAGCTGCACAAGAGAGCTGGTTTCTGTGTGCGTCTCTGGGTTCGTGCGTGCGTGTGTCTCTCTGTGTCTGGTGGACGAGCCGAACCCACAGGAGTAGACAGGCCCTCACCTGTTGAGCAGCAGGTCCAGCACTTGCTGAGTAGTGGCGAACGAGCGGTAGGTGCAGAGGAATATGGTGACGTAGGTGGAGTCGTTGCCCCTGAACGCCGACATCATGTACTCCACCAGCTTCTCCAGGGTGCCTGCCTTGATGGTGCGCACTTTACAGGTCTCGTACAAGCTCAGGGCCGACTCTGTCTCCACCTGGGCCAGAGAGGGGGGCACAAGCACCGTGTGTGACAACAGGCCTGGTACTCCTCACGAGCAGACCTGTCCGCTAACTTCACGCGAACACGGAAGAATCGCTCGTGTTAACAGGCTTGGGCTTAATGAGACATGTGTCCCACTTGTCTTGTCCACTGGGCGATACGTACTGCCTGATGCCCTGTAACACGTTCTTTCACCTGTGACTAGGGGCCTATATTGCAACTTTTGTTGTTGGAGAACTCAGTTATTCTCTGTTCTCAAGCCATTTTAAATCCACAATGCTCAATGCCGTAAGGGGGCTCTGCAAGCAGCGAAGGGGTACGGAAATGTTAATCTGTTGGGCTCTGCCCCCGGTCCGAGCGTCACTCACCCCTAGCCATCGCTGCCCCTTGCTGGCCGCCTGGTGCACCTGCACCTTCCTGAGGGTGATGGTGTAGATCGCCCCGTCTTCCACTTCCTCCCCAATCTCCTGGGTCGAGCTCTGGGGGGGCGAGAGGACACACACACACAAGTGCGATTCATTTTACAGCACCCTCTCAACACAACAACACAATGACAGACAAAGCTTTACCAACCAATGAGTCAGTGCGACAGGGTTACAGTAAGATAAGGGAGAAGACAGTTGTTTGAAAGCGATCTTGCAGTGGGGATGAAAGACTTCCTGTGTCCGTTAGCACAGAGGCGTCTCCCAGAACTGGCAGTGAAGGAGGTGAGAGACGCATCCATAATCCATTTTGCCTTCTTTGCCACCTCTGTTTGTAGAAGATATTTAAGGCCATTTGATTTGCCCCAGTTAATTTGCTACTTATTTGGACTAATTTACTGCACCACCTATGACTGGAAAATCCCCTGCAACCCCATATTCCACACCTGCTGCAAGTGCTGTCAAAAGCCTATTTTTCACAATTGCGCAGCAGATCGGAAATCAAACCCACGCAAACTTCATTCGCTAAACCGACTGCCTCAAACACAGACCGAAATGTGCTGCAGAGTTCACATCTACGGGACCTTGCGAGAGAGATGAGGGCAGCTGTCACCAGACATTCATCGATGTTGGGGGGGCAGAGCAAGCCGACGCTCTCTCTTTAAAGACGAGAGCTCCAGTGCGTTACTGAGTGAATGAAGAGGCAGCCTGCTGTTGAAACAACACCCTTACGAATGGCCAAGTCCCTCTGCTGTGTGTTTCAGCTCAGTGGGGGGGGGGGTGTTTCCTCAAGGCCTTGGAGAAAATGCAAATTCCAGGAATATCTGAACAACCTCCTACCAACTGCATGGACAGACCGGAGGAACGCTGTGGAAGCTTCTCGACCCAACATTCCCTCACTGTTCTCAAACAACAGCACTCGCCACAGCGAGAACAGCACATTCTGTAAGCCTCCGTACACATGTTCTGTATCCGCAGACTAACAGAGACTGAATCATAAACGGCTAGATGGAATGTCCACAGAAACTGAGCCAACAGTTTACTTCCCATTAAGTTGTTTTCTTGTCCACAAGTTCCGTTTCCAAAGTAAAGCTTTCGCGCGTTTCCCCAGCGCGCCTGACTCCCATCAGAACTACAGCGCGAGGGGCTGTCTCCCGGCTGCGTTCCCACCATTGCTCTGCCAATCGGTTTTAGTGCAACACATTCAAGACACATCGACTCCACACGAGACACTTTCTCATCGGAAAGATAATGGCAGGAAATTTAAAAAAAAAATCCACATGCACAGCAGACAGCTCTTAAAACACTTCCAGTGAGAGAAAACAGCATGAGGCACTGACTGAGCTCAGACTTGTTTCCACAACTAGAGATGTCTATACTGTACTATAAGGCCATGACAATAAGGAGGGTCTTTAAGAAAAAGCATTCAGTACTGACTAATAATGGGAACATACTAATATTCCATCCATCCATATTCTAATGGTTTCTTCCACTTCAGGGTCGCAGGGGAGCCAGAACCTATCCCAGCAAGCAATGGGAGCAAGACAGGGTACACCCTGGATGGGGAGTCCGCATTACCTGTAACGCACTTTGAGTGGGGTGTCCAGAAAAGCCCTATTTAAGTGTAAGGAATAATTAATGTGAAACACTGGACCTGCCACATTGTTAATCTGGCTTTAGCTGAACAAAAAAACACTTGGATTAAACCCTGACAGAGGGAGACCGGAAAAAAAAAACAACAAGCCGTTTGCAGGAATGCAAAATAACTCAAGGGAGGATGGAGACAGTTACTTTATTGTTTTGCCTGCCTGTCTGGCCACCAAAAGCTCAGCCAATATCCTTGGCAGGAGCCCAGGGAAAATAAAGATGGATGAGGAAACGGAGGGGGCAAACCGTGTGTCTCCAGGAATTCTGGACGCCCACCCTGGGGGGAGGTCACTGGTTATTAAACCGGTCTTACATTTCAAAGCCAACTGGTAGCCTGCGGGGTGACCAGCAGACTGGGTGATCACTTAGTAAAGGGAGGACACCAGGGGCTCAATCTGTGTTAAAAAGGCTCATGATCATGACAATGCCAACCACCCCTGTCCCTTCTTCACAAAGGCTCGGTGATGAGCATCTTGTTTCTGTCCCGTCCCCGATTCTTCATCCTCCTCCAACGCCACAGCGACAGATTCCCGAACGTCGTTAACATGTTATTTACGGCCTCCTCATTCACACGTTCGGGATTCTCAGAGAAGTCCCCCCTTTGATGGCAGCAGTTCACACTCCTCACTGGCAGACGAGCTCTGTGCTGCTGCTCCGGCAGCATCACTGACAAGTGACTGAGCGCTGACGAACGATGACTTGAAGTGCAAATGAGACTGTCGTGTCATCCTCACTGACTCCGAAAGGGAAAGTGATTTTTACAGTCGCAGAAATTTTAGAGGGAGGGGGCTGCCTGCTTAATTGAGCATTTGTATTCCAAATACTTTGGCTCACTCGGTCATCGTCTCCCTTCTACAGTGCTTTAACACCATTTGACTATTTTACATTCCACATGACATTTTAGTTCTCATCCTCTCTTCCCCAAAAGGGGAAAAACAAAGAAGCAACAGCACTCAGTTATCATTCATGTGCATACTTGTGACTTCCTATTATACAGATGGATATTCATTATTAAAATTTTGCCTACCCCTACAATTACTCACTCTCTTAACATTCTGAAGCACGAGACAAACTTGTATGATGAAACCTAAGTCATCTTGTGCCTAATTACATTTCAAAACAGTTCAGTGAAAATAAACTACCATCCCGAAAACACATACTCCAGTTAGTCATCATCCTTGTTTGCTCGCACAGAGCCCGAGTCGCCTTACTGTGGCCAAGGCTGACAGGGTGTTCTCATGGCAACGAGGCCTGGCTTTGTTTACATCCTGCACCACCAGGCACATCCCCATCTCTAAGACAAACCGGTGACGAAACGGAGACAAAGCACGGTTCACTTCCTATTCATTTATGACACCACAGCCTAGCGATTTAAGGCGCAGAGTATTGATCCTAGTCATTTCAGGAGACGTAGGTTAGAGTCTTACGCCTGAGAGTCTTACGCCTGACCTTCTAACACCGTAGCCTAGTATCTCTCCATTTTTTTTAACCAAAAGGATGGGCCAAATTCCCTCCTCTCAATGGTAACTTGGTGTCAATAAAACCTTTACCACGAAGTTAATGATCTACCACAGGGAAAACACACTTTGCTTTTTGTGGTTTAGAGGCGCCCAAATGGCTTCAAACCCGATAGGAACGTGAAATATGAAATATGATTAAATTTCATGTTGAAATCAGTCACCCACCTACCCCCTTACCCCTGTTGTGCTACCCCTACAGATAAAAAAAAGCTAGTCAACAGGACAGCCAAGAAGGAACTTGCTAAATGAAAATGGAAACGTTTCTAGACAACAGACTGCTTTATTCTTAACATCACATAGTTGTGACCATTGGGGCTCTTACTAAGAACACAGAAATGTGTGCTTGTGTATACTGTACAGTTAGGCCATTACATTCCAGGGAAATCCCACATGTGAAAACAGCCCAGGGAAGAGAAAAAACACCACAACACTTCCGTCTTCCTCTGGTCTGTAACCAAACTGGGGCGCCAGCTCTCCCTGCCCACTGTGCCCACAGTGCCAGGCTCGGGTCTGGGGTCTGTGGAAACCGTGACTCTGAGCAAGAATACCTTTCCCAGGGTGCCAGTTCCCTTAGAAAACAGTCTCTCTCTCATTTCACAGTCACGTAATTGGTTCTGACTCAGAAAATGCCTGTCCTTTTTTTGTTTTGTTTTGTTTGTTTTCTTTGGTCAAGCGTAATAATTAAATAGAGCTGGGAGTTTGAGCTGAGGATTGGTTTCAGCAGATTTATAGACTGAAGAGCCTGAGGGGACACAGGCTTTGAGTTACCAGTGGAGCCAACATCTTGAACACAGCGATGAGTATTAGACAGATAATCAGCTTAGCTTTACAGATGGTGCTGGGGTACTTAGCCCTGCAGTCAGGGGAAATTGAAATTGCTGGCTCTTTTGCCAGAAAATGGCTGGAACTGCCAAGTTTCAGTGTTCGTCTTAAGTAATGTTTCTCTCTTCTGTGAGAATAGCTGTGTCAACAGCGCCGCCGCTAAGCTCAAAGCATTTAGTGGAAGTAATGTGGTGAATTTAAACGAGGCCTCTCCCACTATTTTGCAAGTTCTTGATTTTTTATTTTCAGTTATTTCAAATGCGCTTGAAAGATTTTTATCAGGCTCTGTACTGTACATGAAGTAATGCCACAAAATCAGCCTGTTTTTTCATATGGACGTAACTTCTTATATGTAATTCGCATGAAAGATACAGTAGTTGTTCCCAATATCCTGACAAGCGTGTGAAGCTGCAGGCCTGTTAAAGTGCCCTTTCTAGCACAAAACAAAAAACAAAATCTGCATAACGCTCCACAAATAAAAGGGTAAAAATAAACTGAAGGGGAAAAAGAACAAAAAGACCAAACCTCAGTATTGAATTACTCAGTAAGGCCGCGGCCTGCTTTAAATTAGAATCACAAGTTTACTGCATTTAGAGGCAAAAACATGCCTCTTTGTTTACCACATGCTGGCGACGTGCCTGCACAGGCCCTGTTTAGAGCGTTGCCATGGTGACGAAGGGAACTCCCAGCGAGGCAGAGAGAGAGATCAGGGCTGGAGGATGTGATAGAGGGTGGGGAGATCTTATGTCACTATCACTCTCCACACACAGCAAATTCTCCACAGCCGATGCTCCAGTCCTCAAGTGCTGTATTTAGTTTCCTAGACACTAGATACTGAAGGCAAGCAGTTAGGATAATACTCAAGGCACACCCGTAATAACAACCCCCAAATAAAGCAATCTTTTTCCCCCCTCCTTGTTTTACATTATTATGCTTTGCTCTCTTTTCCCAGGAGGAAAGCTCGACATTTCCTGAGTTTATAATCTCCGGATACACTGTCAATTTCCTCCCCTCGACTCTAACCTGAATCCAGTCAGCCAGGAAAAACTACTCAAAAGAAAACCTTAA